CTCATCAGTATTTTATAAGAAAATCATACAACTTAAAACAATAACATGTCTGTTTGATGAAATTTTTATAAAAAACTAATTCCTTTGAACAGTTCTTCTGTTACTTTGAGTAAAGTTTTGTTGTTTCTGGGTCACTACAGATTGTACATTTCATCCAGACTTTTAATGGCTTCTTGTTTACTGTGGTTTCTCCATTCACTGGGAATTTCTCCACTGCCACAGAATTTTAATTTATGGTGATCTTCAAGTTGCTTTTGAAATCGACATACAAACCATTTCCAGTAGCTCAGCTTAGAGCCGTCAGGGGTGATGCTCCAGTTAGCAAATCTTGGGCCAGCAGTTCGGTACTGTTTAAAGGAAATGGACTCTGAATTTCCATCAGTGTAAAACCTTCCATCACTTGCAACATTTGTTGTGCAGAAATTGATCACCAGTTCCACTGTGTTTCTTGTGTGCATACCACTGACCCCACAGGGGCGATGAAAAGGCACACTATGGTCATCAGGATTGTGATCTTCTAAGGTGTTGATACAAACAGCTGCACAGAATGGACACGTTACCCAGCAGCACTTACACAGCTGATCGATGAGGATTTGATCAGGCTTCAGTCTGAATTCCTTCATCTTATCCAGTGAGATGTTGCTTGTCTCTTCCATGATGGATTCAAGGCCTTTCTCAATCTCTTCTTTAAGAAAGTCAAAATTGTTTATGTCACTGAAGTTTTGACAACTAATGGTGTCAAATGTTAGCTCATCTTTTAGCAAACTGGAAAATTCCTCCATCCACATGTATATGTCTCCTCTCTGGGTTTTGACTTTATCTGTTGCAGTAAATAAAGCTCGACTCACAAGTTGTTTGGTGTCCTCAACATTTTTCTTGAGCATATCTCCAGCTTTATCTTTGTTCTCTCTGAAGATATATTTCTTTACTTCTTCTTTTATAAAAGTCTCTACTTGCCTCCTTGGGTGTCGGATGTAGGTGATATAGCCATTAAAGTCCTCTTCTTCTGCCAGTGACTTCAACACGTGTTTCTCCAAGTTCAACCTGTTCCCATTGAATGCTGGGAAACTGCACCTCATCTCTCCAGCGAGATCAATGGCAGTCTTGTTACAAACAGCCTCAACAGTTGAACTCTTCAGTTTTTCACAGATCAGTTCTCCAAGCACAACAGCAGACGAGTTTCCTTTGCAGAAGCTTCTGAAAATGTTGTAATATTGTTTTTTCTTGCTTTCCAAATAACTGAGTGCATCGTTGTTCATTTTGAATTTCCTGTGGGACTCTGAAAGCCAACTACCTGCTCTGTCAAATACATACAGTAAGAGATCAACTGTAAACTCCTTCTTCAGAGCATATTTCCTCTTTGTTTCAAATTCTGTCACCTTTTCTTTTACATTTTTGGCCACTTCTTGCAAGTAAGTTGAGCTGTAGCCTCTTGTAGCTACAGGTTTACTCTTAATTGCATCAAGGGACTGTTTTTCAACATCATCAATGAGGGATCTGATCAGTCGGTGTTCTTCATGCGGAAAATCCATCTTTGAGCTATCTTTATTTGTGGTTGTTTCTGAAGAGAAATCAACTAATATGTTTAGAGAATTAGAACGATCCCCGTCATGATCTTGATAGAAATTTTGGCCTGTGTTACACAGATCTCTGTGTTTGGTGATGGTTACATAATCAATGTAATTTCCGACCATTGATATATTTTTGTAGCTGCCACTGCTTTTGGATTCCTTTATGAGGGAGCATTCAATACAAAGCTCTTGAAGGATGGATATTTGGTCTTCTTCCAAGTTGATGTCCTCAATAGGTTTTGTGTCTCCAGTTAATTCATTAACCCATTCACTCCAAACAGAGTCAAACTGTATTTTAAGTTCCTTTTCTGTTGCTTTGTCTTTTAACTGATGAGCGAGATCTTTGCTCTTTTCAAGCAGCTTGTTCTCAAACTGTGCCTTCGTATCATCAAGTTTTTTACAAGCATTCTTCTGCTTGATTATTTCATTCAGTTTTCTTTCAACTCCTTTCACTTGTTCATCATGAAACTCCTTGATTTTACTTTCAAATCGGCCTCGCCACTGAACCAACATTTCTTTATCTTTGTTGTCATCAAAGTATGCTGTCATATCGTTTTTGACCTTTGTATATGTTTTACTAATTTCCTCGAGAAGATAACTATACTTAACACTTTCAAGTTTTCCATTTTCTATTCTGTTATAAAGCTGGCTTTCAATGGTCAACATGTTGCACCTCAGGGCCCAGGTCCAGTTCCCATACTGGACCTCAAGTTCTCTGTACACTGCAATTTCAAGTGTGTTTTTGAAACTGAAAACAAAGTTTTCGTCCAACAGGGCATTCCACAGGTCATGAATTTTGCTTTTGAACTGTGAGAGACTAATCCCAGCAGACTGTGAAGCTTTAGAGAGGATGAAGTTCTTCAGCTCTTGAACACTCTCACTGT